TGACCATTAGATTACGCAATAATTGTGCGGACATCATACTAGGCAGTAGAGCTTAAAGCCCCTCTTCTAATTTTTCAAAAAACGCTTTAAAAAAACCCAAAAATCCTTAAATTACCGTTTATAAGAATAAGTCATTATTTGTAATTTAAGAAGATTGCGTGTTTAATCGAAAATAATCTCGTCTCTAACGCTGGAAAGAGAAGTTGCTGTCTCTGTAAATTTTTAGAAGAATAGTGTCGCGCTAACTGAAAAAAGGCTTAGGCTTTGCTTTAGTCTAAACTTTCAAACGCAAACCACTTTAATCATTTGAGCACCTAAATATTTTGCCACCGTTCTTTTCAAATAGTTTCAAATACAGTCAATTGGACTGACAATATCTTCCCAAAGCAAATTGTGAAAAGAAAGACATTACATTGCGGCATTTTTCCTGAATTCTCTCCAAATAGCGTGAATTTAAAATATTTTTCCGGGACAACAGGATGGGTAGGCCCCCCCCAAAAAATTCATTGAGCCCCTCCGATCGGCACATCAACTTTTGAAAAATTTTAAGCAATGGGCGCACTTTCATAGACTTCCACTTCGTGATTTTTAATTTTTTTCATGGTTGAGTTTTGTCATAGTTTTTTTTTCAATTTATGAAAACCTGAATTGACCACAGTGGAAATGGTGTCCTGGAAATGATATAAGATCTTGTTGGGTTCAACTCACGCGGCCACACTGACATTACAGCCCCCCCCCCCGACACTTTCTTTTTCTGGCAGGCCAATCCCTTAGGACAAGCCCCGCCTTTGTTGCAATAGAATCTCCCTTCTGCTAGTTTGATAACGGGCTATGCTCGTAACGTCGTTTATTAATTCGTTAATTTTTTCAAGTATAATTCCTAGTTTAATTGAATTATGACATAGTTTGCAGTAAACTGATTCCCAGCTACACAAATTTCAGACACACTTTGCTTACCCGACATCTGTTCTGGCTGTGTGCAAATTTTTGAGCCATTCGATTAGTTTCTTTGGTACAAAATAGCTTTTTCGTACCTGTATGTAGAGGAGTTGTAAGTCCGTAGAAAACGGAATTTTACTGATTCCACTTGCAAGGTACACTCGTAAACCACAGTGAAATCCGGGTCAAGTCACTTGAAGCTTTAAGATCAATAGGCCTGTTGGAATAAACACAGTCATACATTGGATACATGGATGTGCCATGCGATATTGCAAATGAGACATACGACCATAACCGCACAGCAGCGATAATCGGCCTAACAGGTCAAGAGATTTTCAGATCTCAACCAGTAGTTTTGATAAAGAAGTTATGGAAACTTCCGTTTACATGAAATTTTTGCATTTTCAAAACTTCTGCTAGTTTCAAACATGGTTATAATTGTGTGCCTTAAAAGTTCGGCTCTAGAAAGTGGAGAAATCGAAAAATGGTTTAGTCCAGAAAACGTTTATCTTAAACTTAAGGCCGACCTCCACTTGGCCGTACGTCCGTACATAGAGAAATCTTCTGTCCATGCAAACGTCTGAATAAATTGCGCCAAAAATTATAAACAACATGGAAGCTATGAAGCGAAGGCGATTGCTTCTCCTTTTATTACTGCGAGGAAGACAGCAAGACTATGAGGATCCCACAGACATCTGTACAACTGTACCTCATTAATCAGCCGCTCGTCTAATTGATCTTCATTTGTTCTAAAGCTGGGCGCTGATGCTGCTGCTGCTGGGCTTGTTGGACTTGGAGGCCTACTTGCGTCCCTTTTCTCATCCTCCACCTCATTTGTAATTAGGCCCACATTTTGGTCATCTAAAATTTTTGCAAAATGGCCATTTGATGAGCATGTGACTGCTGTTGTTGATATGCTCTTAAGGTTATCCCGTTCACGTTCATGTTGCCTGCACCTTCCTTCACTGCCATCTTGAATAGTACTTTCTTTGGCGCTGAATATTAATCAGCTTTAACTTCCTTGCAATTTGATTCGATAATCTCCGACGTACATAAAGCAGCCGCTCTGAAAGTAGGTTCTTCTTTCAAAGCGTACAAAGTTTGAACGTGACGCGCAAGAATATTGCATCATACCAAGTCACTGGGAATGCGCTGACTTGGCCGCACCGTAAGATCGGCCAAGTGGAGGTCGGCCTTTAAAGTCTAATTGAAAGCAAAAAACTGTGCGAAAAGATGCAGAAAAAAATGGCCCCTGTTTCACTTCGCAACCTTATTCCGCATGCGCAGTAGAAAAGTAAACCGGGCTCAACCCTCTTTTGCATTAACAATACATTATTTCAAACCAATTTAGTCCTCCTGGGCCGAGTCAGCCCGGGCCGAGTCAGCCCGGGCCGAGTCAGCCCGGGCCGAGTCAGCCCGGGCCGAGTCAGCCCGGGCCGAGTCAGCCAGGGCCGAGTCAGCCCGGGCCGAGTCAGCCCGGGCCGAGTCAGCCCGGGCCGAGTCAGCCCGGGCCGAGTCAACCTAGGCCGAGTCAACCTAGGCCGAGTCAACCTAGGCCGAGTCAACCTAGGCCGAGTCAACCTAGGCCGAGTCAACCTAGGCCGAGTCAACCTAGGCGTCGTCTAATGTTCTCAGATTTCGCAGCGAAAAAATTCGATTCGCAGAAAGTAGATAACGATCCTACTCTATCGCTACAAATATGTTTTCGATTCGCGCGAAAGAATTCGCCTAGTGGAAATCGGCTTTTAACTTTGTGTTCG